GAAAGCGCGTTGTCGCAATGTTGGCGAGTGCAGAAAATCGCGTTGTCGCAATGTTGGCGAGTGCCGAGAATCGCGTTGTCGCAATGTTGGCGAGTGCAGAAAATCGCGTTGTCGCAATGTTGGCGAGTGCCGAGAATCGCGTTGTCGCAATGTTGGCGAGTGCAGAGAATCGCGTTGTCGCAATGTTGGCGAGTGCAGAAAATCGCGTTGTCGCAATGTTGGCGAGTGCAGAGAATCGCGTTGTCGCAATGTTGGCGAGTGCAGAAAATCGCGTTGTCTCAATGTTGGCGAGTGCAGAAAATCGCGTTGTCGCAATGTTGGCGAGTGCAGAGAATCGCGTTGTCGCAATGTTGGCGAGTGCAGAAAATCGCGTTGTCGCAATGTTGGCGAGTGCAGAAAATCGCGTTGTCGCAATGTTGGCGAGTGCAGAGAATCGCGTTGTCGCAATGTTGGCGAGTGCAGAAAATCGCGTTGTCGCAATGTTGGCGAGTGCAGAAAATCGCGTTGTCGCAATGTTGGCGAGTGCCGAGAATCGCGTTGTCGCAATGTTGGCGAGTGCCGAGAATCGCGTTGTCGCAATGTTGGCGAGTGCAGAGAATCGCGTTGTCATAATGTTGGCGAGTGCAGAGAATCGCGTTGTCGCAATGTTGGCGAGTGCAGATGAAAATCGCGTTGTCGCAATGTTGGCGAGTGCAGAGAATCGCGTTGTCGCAATGTTGGCGAGTGCAGAAAATCGCGTTGTCGCAATGTTGGCGAGTGCCGAGAATCGCGTTGTCGCAATGTTGGCGAGTGCAGAGAATCGCGTTGTCGCAATGTTGGCGAGTGCAGAGAATCGCGTTGTCGCAATGTTGGCGAGTGCAGAAAAAGCACGTTTGTCGCAATGTTGGCGAGTGCAGAAAATTGCGTTGTCGCAATGTTGGCGAGTGCAGAAAATCGCGTTGTCTCAATGTTGGCGAGTGCAGAAAATCGCGTTGTCGCAATGTTGGCGAGTGCCGAGAAGCGCAGGAAACGACGCTGTCGCGGGTGTTGGGGAGCACAGGAAACGGCGCTGTCGCGGTGTTGGGGAGCGCAGGAAACGACGCTGTCGCGGTGTTGGGGAGCGCAGGAAACGACGCTGTCGCGGTGTTGGGGAGCGCAGGAAATGGCGTTGTCGCGGTGTTGAGGAGCGCAGGAAACGGTGTTGTCGTGGAGTTGAGGAGCGCAGGAAACGGCGTTGTCGCGGTGTTGAGGAGCGCAGGAAATGACGTTGTCGCGGTGTTGAGGAGCGCAGGAAACGGCGTTGTCGCGGAGCGCAGGAAACGGTGTTGTCGCGGTGTTGAGGAGCGCAGGAAACGGCGTTGTCGCGGTGTTGAGGAGTGCAGGAAACGGTGTTGTCGCGGTGTTGAGGAGTGCAGGAAATGACGTTGTCGCGGTGTTGAGGAGCGCAGGAAACGGCGTTGTCGCGGTATTGGGGAGCGCAGGAAACGGCGTTGTCGCGGTGTTGGGGAGCGCAGGAAACGGCGTTGTCGCGGTACGGTGTTGGGGAGCGCAGGAAACTGTGTTGTCGCGGTGTTGGGGAGCGCAGGAAATGGCGTTGTCTTAGTGTTGTAAAAGGCAGAATTGCGTTTCGTTGCGCCATCAGCCAGTACAAAGCGCAGTAATGAAGCACACTGAAGACAATGGCGCATTAAAAAGCGAATCAATTCTTCAGTGACCAGACTGAGGCCCCAACGTCCAACGATTTGGGGGTACTAAGACCCCTCGATCATGAGGAACCCCCCTGACCACGGAGTCCTCATACCCTGAAGACACACACCTGACTGATTGACTTTTGTATTACCTTTTTATTCTGTCTTATTGTACTTTGTATGCGATTTGTTGTCGGTCGCTGTGCTGCGTCTTGCCCTCCATTGTTCCTATGTGTACATATGATACATTGACACAAATGTGAGGGGACCAGGGGCGGACTGATCATTTGGAAACTCGGGCAGTGCCCGAGGGCCCGGGGTCAGTAGGGGGCCCCATGAGATGCCCCTGGTACCTTTTTCATAGGCTTTTTTGAGTTTGTGCAAGGGTGGCCCCAAGATCCCCTATTGCCTGGGGCCCCATGAGTTGTCAGTCCACCCCTGTTTGTCAGCTTAGCTTACCTTAATTATCTTGAAGGGTCTGATGGGTTTTGGCCTTGTGTTGATGTCATTAGTTCCAGATCCTTCTGAGATCATTCAGAATTAATTGACTGGCTATTTAATCCATAGATGACCTCCTTCAGACCTGCATTTGACTTGCTTTAGGTAGGTTTGTAGGGGCATGCAGAACCTCTCCGGCAAAAAAGAACAGCCTATCAACATTTCTTATATCAACTTATACCAGCGCAAAACCCACAAAACAATAAATTGCATCACCCAACCCATAAATAATAATTACTAAATATCACAAACTTAAAAAACACTGTGACACAAAAATATAAATTAAAATATTAAATTTTTTTTTTTAAATTTAAAAAATATTAAGTCCAGTGACAAAATCCAATAAAACAGTCCCGTGAAAAATTTTTATTTATATTTTCATTGGATTCTTCCGTGCCAGTGATACCTCCACCATCCACCAGTGCAAAACCAACATTAACCTCCCTGGCGGTATGATTATTTCAGATTTTTGGTGCTGAAAAGCGGTACCATTTTTTTTTGCATGGAAATATGTATTTTTTTTTATTGTAGGCTGTAATTTTTAGGAAAAACTCACTGAAATCTGTCCGAACAAGAGTCTAGTAAACATCCCGGGTATGATAAAATTTGAAACACAAAATCATAAATTATAATTTAATAAATAATCATAAAAATAATATAAAAAAATAAAAAATTTAATTCAATAATATAATCAAACCAAAAACACTGAAATGTGAAATAGAGCGCCAAGTTCGCACATTGCTGAGCTCAGTCGCAAAATCGTTTTCAGTTTCTGATGACGAATTTCCCCCACGAATCATTATCACTCAATTCTGTAAGTGGTTCTGATTTACTATCGCTGTTCTCTAGCTGATCTAAACCGCTTTTGACCTTAAAGGGACACTTTTTGGACCCCATGGACATTTCTCAGTTTCCAGGCAGAAAGAACAGTTAAAAATGCAGGCAGGGCGCAGGACAAAGCACTCGGGACAAAATGTATGTGAAATAGGTTGAAACAGCAATGTTTTACTGTGTAAAATGAAAAAAAAAAAAAAAATGACATTTTTTAAAATTTTTAAATTTCCCGCCGCCCGGCGGCGGCGCCCGTACGTCCCGACGTCACAGGGACAGGACACAGAAGCCAGATGCCGGCATCGGCCGGAGGAGATGGCCGGGGACGCTGCAGGGGACACATCGTGGGAGCGCAGGGTAAGGTAAGTGAAGAACACATGCCGGAGCAGCGCCGCATGGTATTCCCGAGTGTAGCTCGGGGTTACCGCTTTTGGTACTGAAATGTTACCCCGAGCTACACTCGGGAATACCGCCAGGGAGGTTAACCGCACTCACCAGATAATGGTGAGTCAAATGCCTTTCAGGGATATTAAGGGCTCCTGGACCCCCTTTACTTTGTATATGACCTCCAAATATTGCCCCCTCTAGTATACGGACACCTCCTCTGGTTACTCCTTTCACCGAGTCCCCCAGAGAAAATCAGGAAGAAGAAAAGACCATAGTGTGATACCGTAATGATTTCAACATTGGCTGGAAAGTAGGTTTTCTCAACAAATGTTCCGTGAAGCCATATGGTTCCTCCAGAGATTGCTAGGGGTTACATACCCTCTTGTTACCCATGTAACACATATGTGTTTCAACAAAGAGGGTGAGCTTTAACATCCACACATCAGACATATGCACCCATAGGCGGCCGAGTTTTCTGTGCTGAGAGCCTGTTCCCAGCACAGTGACTGAGTTGTCAAAGAGTGTTGCCCTCTAATAATGATCGGGAAGTGGATGGACTGGCTCCTGATTGTGTGACCACTGTGACAACCAATCATATTTGTCATGTGACTGAGTAGTCCTTCTTGACCCCTGGGTCTAATGACCCAGACATGAGAACACTGGAGCTGGCCCTAACATAAGGGATCTACACCGATCACTAATAGGAGGGGGCGTTTTTCCATTGACCATCAATGTAATTGATGGTCAATGGAATCATCAACTACCATTTAAATACTCTACTTATGCGTGTTCTACAACTTACTAATTAGGTGTTCCCTGACTCCTCAAAATTATTTCATCTGGAGTGAAAAGATTGAACACCGGTCCTAAAGTAAACTGGAGCTTTGCCCATGCAGGCCATACCATCTGATTCACTTTGATGTATGCCCCCCTATTGAGCATTGCCCTTTCCCTTATCCCACCACCGTTAGGCCACCAAGAGTGAAAAGTAATACTTCCAGGTCTGGGGACCTTTTTGACTTGTACCCCTTGTTACCAGGTGACAATAATGGTGTTCGGAGACTGGCTACACAGGCACCGAGGCTGTCACACTGGTGGGGGTAGATAGTCCTCACCTGTGTGAAAATTCCTAATTGCGGTCTAGGGATGACCGAGGGTAATGTGTAATCAGCACTAAAGTGAACCTTCATAAGGAAAAGCCAATCTACAATAACACTGAATGGTTACATTCTTGCACAGTCCCAATGGTGGCTGGTTCGGTTCATGATGGTGAGAGATCATCTCACTGATTTATATATATTACGTCACTTTGTCCAATACTCTACTCATTTTGTCATGCTAACCACCATTTTGACCTTTTAGTTTTATGTTGCTGCCATTTTTGCCAAGCCAGAAGAATGGCAGGACACTTTCCCTTTCCTGACCCACATCAGTGAAGGAATAGAGCATTGTCCAGCTTTGGGGGTCATAGAAGGTTAGCTTCCTTGGACCTGACAGACTGAGGTAGACCCCAATTTTCTCCATGGTGCCTTCCACCTCGGGCAGTGGGCTTTCATGCATGTCCAGAGCTCTAAAGGCATCTGTAAATCGGGCAATGCACCAAATCAGCATCTGGGGGCGAAACATGTAGGCATCACCCCTTCTTTGCAGTTGTGGAGAAGCAACACCAACTGCCCACTCCAGTCCATCTCCCACTTTCACCTCCCAGTAGTGGCAACCATGGGTGAAGGCTGGGAGGCCAAGGCAGCAACGCTCAGTTTCGAAGCGGGCATTGCTTGGCATGGGTATCTCGGGAGGAGGCTGGTTTATGAGGGTTTGAAAATCATCAGTGATGGACAGCTCCGGATAGGCAGTCTCGGGGGATAATGTGATGTACTCTACAAGGGAAGAGCAAAGATACTTTATGAGTCTCACAAACTTTTTAATATGATTTCTTAAAGCTGAACTCTGGGCTCAAAAATGTTTATTTAAATATTTTCCTTAAAGGGGAACTCTTACTTAAATTTTTTCAGTGTTTTGAAGTATTTTTTCCCATGTTCTTACCTGCTTTGTAAGCCTGACTTCAAGGCCGTAGATGGCATGCCCCATCCCTCATTGCTGTCCGACAACACAGCCTTCAAGGAGTTGGCTGATTGATAACTGACACTTGAGCAAATAGCACTCTGCCCATTACTTAGTCCTGACCCTTGAAATCTGTGCGGAACTTAATCCTGACCCCTGCACTCTGTGCATTAATTAATCATAACCCCTGAACCCTTCAAATTAATTAATCCTGAACCCTGAACGCTGCATTCCTTATTCCTAACCCCTGCACTCTGTGCATTCCTTAATCTTGACCCCTGCGCTCTGTGCCTTCCTTAATCCTGACCCCTGCGCCCTGTGCATTCCTTAATCCTGACCCCTGCGCTCTGTGCCTTCCTTAATCCTGACCCCTGCGCTCTGTGAATTCCTTAATCCTGACCCCTGCGCTCTGTGCATTCCTTAATCCTGACCCCTGCACTCTGTGCATTCCTTAATCCTGACCCCTGCGCTCTGTGCATTCCTTAATCCTGACTCTGTGCATTCCTTAATCTTGACCCCTGCGCTCTGTGCCTTCCTTAATCTTGACCCCTGCCTCTGTGCCTTCCTTAATCTGACCCCTGCGCATTCCTTAATCTTGACCCCTGCGCTCTGTGCCTTCCTTAATCCTGACCCCTGCGCTCTGTGCCTTCCTTAATCCTGACCCCTGCGCTCTGTGCCTTCCTTAATCCTGACCCCTGCGCTCTGCATTCCTTAATCCTGACCCCTGCCATTCCTTAATCCTGACCCCTGCGCTCTGTGCCTTCCTTAATCCTGACCCCTGCGCTCTGTGCCTTCCTTAATCCTGACCCCTGCGCTCTGTGCATTCCTTAATCCTGACCCTTGCACTCTGTGCATTCCTTAATCCTGACCCTTGCGCTCTGCGCATTCTTTAATCCTGACCCCTGCACTCTGTGTGTTATTTATTCCTGACTTCTGCACTCTCTGCCTTACTTAATCCTGCCTCCAGCACTCTGTGCATTATTTTCTGTTGACCTCTGTGACCCCAGCACCCCATGCCTTACATACTCCTGACCCCATCACCCTGTGCCTTACTTACTCCTGACCCCAGTACCCTGTGTGCTACTTAATTACGGCCCATACACTCTGCATGTAACCTAATCCTGACCCCTGAACTCTGGGTGTAACTTAATCATGACACCCTGTATTACCCAATCCTGACCCCTGCGCTCTATGCATTACTTAATTCTGACGACTGAACACTGTGTGCCATTTACTCCTGACTCCAGCACTCTGTGCATTACTTTCTGTTGACCCCTGTACTTTCTGTGTTATTTACTCCTGACCCCAGCACCCTGTGTGTTACTTAATCCTGACCCCTGCACTCTGTACTTTACACTCTCTTGACCAATAGCAGCAGAGGCTCAGGATTATTTACCCATACCCCTTTAAGTTGCACCCACTGTTGCTGCTTTTTTGCCACATCCAACAATTCACTGTGGCATTCCAGGCTCACCACATCATTCCCCTTCTCATGGTGCCAAAGGTGTTTCTTCTTTACACCCTGATTGTCTGCCTCTTGTTCCAGAAGTCTGTGACTGATTGTTTCAGGGTGTGTTAAAAAACGGGGTCGTGGTTGTGTGGGCGTGGCTACAATTGAGAGTATGGTTTCATCCGCAGGGTTAAAAGTGGGCTTGGTCAGTAAAGTGTCTTAACCAAAGGGTTCCCTTAATCAAAATGAATCCCAACCAGGGGCGGAATGACAACTCATGGGGCCCCTGGGCAATAGGGGATCATGGGGCCCCTGTGTCCTTGCCCAAACTAAAAAAAAAGCCTATGAAAAAGGTACCAGGGGCATCTCATGGGGCCCCCTACTGACCCCGGGCCCTCGGGCAGTGCCCAAGTTTCCAAATGGTCAGCCTGCCCCTGATCCCGATGTATGTGCACCATGATGTAGAGGGACCCTGGGAGAGGTGAGATGGCATGGACAGTATAGGGGGGTACCGGAGGTCTGGAATTGGTAGGATACTTACCTGGACTCATCACAGCTGTCCTCCAATCTGAAAACAGATAACAAAGGACAAATCAATCATTCATTAAAGAGACTCTAATAATTAGCCCACTATGGCTCAAAACAAAAACGGGGGGATGTTCACCTAATATCAAGCACACTGGCCCTCCACCAGTAGGGTGGAGGACTAAATACCTTAACAACAATTTAGCAATGCATGCACGTAAAATTTCCTACATGGACATTCTATCATGTATACGACATGACAGTTAATGAATCATCTCATTTCAAATACTGTATCTATGAACTGTCCGCAGTGGCGAACACCCGCGTTTTCCTAACTAGCGGACAGGTTTAGCAATGGCCACATGGATACGTCCCGTCGGTCCTCGAGAGATTGGTTAATCAATCAATTTGATGGACTTTTTCAGAATTCTAATTGGACTAACATATAGTTCAAATTTGGGGCTCAGTAGGCCACCCTTTGGGGTTTAGGACCCGCTATTTCAGCAATACACGGGTTTGAGGTCAGGATGTGCCAATGTTTTTGTAACGCCTTCCCAACTTCATTCCATTGCGATCCATATTTTCGTGATAAACCTGGTTGGTCCCAAGAAGGATTTTCACTATTTTTATTCTTCATCTGAAGTAAGGCCTTCCTTTCCATACTAATTGCTCATTTTCTGGCACTCCCAATTACCCTATGTCAAGTGTGTCAAACACAAGGTCCCCCGGGCTGAATCCAGCCCTTCAGGCCATTTTATGTAGCCCTCGCACCTCTTCTGCAGCTGTGGCACCCCCCTTCATCTGCGCCCCCACTTTGTCTCAAATGTTGGCAGCAGAGAGGACAAATCTCCTCTTACAGATCCAGCGCCTCTCTGTGCAGCCGCAGCACCCCCTTATCTCCACCCTCCCCTGGTCTCAGCATTCAGCAGAATCTGGTAGCTAACTCCAGCCCTCCTCTGGTCCTCCTCCAGACCCTGAACTTTCTGCTTCCCAGCTCTACCCCTATCCCCTTCCTGGCAACAGCACAAGGGGGGTGCACTGTGATATAAGGGAGGGTGGGGGAGTCTTGACTTCTGATGGTGGGGTGGACTCTTGACACCTGATGTAAAGGAGGGTGGGGTGCTCTGAACATCTAGTCTTACAGATACATGTGGCCCTTTGAGGGCAGCCATAATGCTGATGCGGCCCGCAATTAAATTGAGTTTGACACCCCTACCCTATGTTATACAGCCTTTCCCTCTCATACATCCGCCTTGCTTCTTGTTTGAAATGAATCATCTGGGTACAAATCCTCCATATTCAGAATAATTGACCAGTGGGACTACTCTGTATGAGAAATCAAGGGTGGTGGCTACTCGCATGCAGCAATGCCTTTCCTGGTCTGGTATTAAATGTATTTTTACTGACGTTTTGATACGTGACATATCATTTTTATTCTCCACTATCTGAAAATATATCATGTTTGGGGGATTAAATGAATCTTCAGGCCTAAAATGATTATTTTTTAAACACGGGTGCAAAACACGCCAAAACGCTCTGGCAGTGAAAAGGATAAAAGGGGCTGAATGAACTAAGTCCAATCTGCGTTGTCTGCCTTTTGTGCACCTGGGTGCCATTCCTAATGGACCCCCAATCCATCCCCCCGATGCTGGAAGCAACCCAGTCCTTTTTTATGGGCCCCCCAGAACCCCTTCATGCAGCCCACTTTACTTACCCACTTCTGAGCTCAGCTCACCTGGATGACCACAAAAAGAAAAAGTAGATTAAAATTCCACCAGAGCAGGAACACATTTTCTAACTCATCAATATTAAAATATGACCTTTGCATTTTCAATCCGCTGACTGTCATTTTCTAAAAAGATCAAAAATGTTAAATGCGGCTTCTTTTTAATAAGGTAGCCCCTGGGCGTTCTGCAATCCATTGGTGTATAAAATGCTCCCAGAAAGCATATTTCTTGATTGTTTGATTGGTCCAGAAGACTGAATGGAGCTTTGTTTACACTTCTATAGGGCCACTTAGGCTTCATTTACACTTACTCCAAAATGTGGCATTTTTGAGTGGGGGATCAGTAGAGCTGGGGGTTACTACTGAGTGGGGGAATCATTGGAGCTGGGGCTTACTACTGAGTGGGGGGATCAGCAGAGCTGGGGGTTACTACTGAGCGGGGAATCAGCAGACCTGGTGATTAATGAACAGGGAATCAGCAGAGCTGGGGGTTACTTCTGAGTGGGGAAAAAAAATGGAGCTGCAGGATACTACTGAGCAGGGGATCAGCAGAGCTTGGGGTTACTACTGAGCAGGGGATCAGCAGAGCTGGTGATTTGTAATGAGCGGGGGATCAGCACAGCTGAGGGTTACTACTGAGTGGGGGAATCAATGGAGCTGGGGGTTACTACTGAGAGGGGGATCAGCAGAGCCAGGGGTTACTACTAAACAGGAGATCAGCAGAGCTGGGAGTTACTACTGAGTGGGGGAATCAATGGAGCTGGGGGTTACTACTGAGCAGGGGATCAGCAAAGCTGGGGGTTACTACTGAGTGGGGGAATCAGCAGAGCTTTGGATTACTACTGAGTGGGGGAATCAGCAGAGCTTTGGATTACTACTGAGTGAGGGAATCAGCAGAGCTTGAGATTACCACTGAGAGGGGGATCAGCAGAGCCAGGGGTTACTACTAAACAGGAGATCAGCAGAGCTGGGAGTTACTACTGAGTGGGGAAATCGGCAAATCTGGGAGTTGCTACTAAGTGGGGGAATCAATAGAGCTGGGGTTTACTACTGAGCAGGGGATCAGCAGAGCTGGGGGTTACTACTGAGGAGGGGATCAGCAGAGCTGGGGGTTACTGAGAAATCAGACAGAGCTGGGGGGGGATCAGCACACCTGGTGATTTGTAATGAGCAGGGGATCAGCACAGCTGAGGGTTACTACTGAGCGGAGGAAACAGTGGAGCTCGGGGTTTACTACTGAGCAGGGAACCAGCAAAACTGGGGGTTACTACTGAGTGGGGAATCAGCAGAGCTTGGGATTACTAATGAGTGGGGGAATCAATGGAGTTGGGGATTACTACTGAGTGGGGGATCAGCAGAGCTGGTGGTTACTAATGAGTGGGGGAATCAATGGAGCTGGGGGTTACTACAGAGCAGGGGCGGACTGACCATTTGCAAACTCGGGCACTGCCCGAGGGCCCGGGGTCAGTAGGTGGCCCCATGAGATGCCCTTGGTACCTTTTTCATAGGCTTTTTTGAGTTTGGGCAAGGACACAGGGGCCCCATGATCCCCTATTGCCTGGGGGCCCCATGAATTGTCAGTCCGCCCCTGCTACAGAGTGGGGAAATCAATGGAGCTGGGGGTTACTACTGAGCTGGGGATAAGCAAAGCTGGGAGTTACTACTGAGTAAGGGAATCAGCAGAGCTGGGGATTACTACTAAGCGGGGAATCAATAGAGCTGGGGGTTACTACTGAGTGGGGATTAGCAGAGCCAGGGATTAGTACTGAGTGGGGGAATCAATAGAGCTAGGGGTTACTACTGAGTGGGGATCAGCAGAGTTGAGGTTACTACTGAGTGGGGATCAGCAGAGCTACTGAGTGGGGATTAGCAGAGCCAGGGATTAGTACTGAGTGGGGGAATCAGAGCTGGGGGTTACTACTGAGTGGGGATCAGCAGTTGAGCTGAGTGGGGATCAGCAGAGGGGTTACTACTGAGTGGGGGATCTGCTGAGCAAGGGTACTAATAACTTGGGGATCTGCTGAGTGGGGGTTCTACTGGGCCCCTTTGAAACAAATAGAAAATCAACACACACAGGACATTTGGCAAGCTTCACTAAAGTTTCAAAGCATCACAGAAGCATGAAAAACACATAAAAAAATCATGCATTTATTCTGCAGCGTTTTTATCAAACTACCTCTGAGATTGCTGGGGTGGCGATTGTTCTGTCCCTCATATATGTATGTTTTTCTGCTGTGGTATTGCCCTGTATTAGGTTGCTATTTTTCGTATGTATGCTGACATCTAGTGGTGGTTTAGGACCATCCTAGCATGAGATTTGATATCTCTCTCTCCTGTTTAGTGCTAGTTAGTTGAGTCCTAACTAGATCCTCCTGCTTTCTTCCATGTTCACTCAGTCAGTATTAGTTCTCACAGAGGTGGAAGAGAGGAAAGCCATTGCTTTTTAATTTCAAAAGACTGAAAAAACATCCGATATGTTGCAGCTATATGATAGGGATTGTAAAAGATCTTTTATTTTATAATAACAAACATGATATACGTACCTGCTCTGTGCAATGGTTTTGCACAGAGCAGCCCTGATTGCCTCCCTCTTGAGGTCCCCTACCGGAGCTCCTGGCTCCTCCTGCCTTCCGAGTACCCCCCACCCCAGCCATGCTGGCTTGATCCTGAGCCACATTGTGTGTGTCTATTGACTCACATGGTGCGGTGTGGCTCAGCCCTGCCCCTCGCTCCTTTGTCACTGGATTTGATTGACAGCAGCAGGGGCCAATGGCTCCCGTTGCTCTCACTGAGTCCAGTGAGAAGTGAGAAAGAGAGAGCAGTGCCGCTGTTCCCGGGCACAGCGCTGGATTGAGATCAGGCAAGTATAAAGGAGGGGCGAGATGCACCTAAAAGAGATGGCATTAGGACCAGTTCACACTCCATGCGTTTCAGTTGCTTTTTTTTGCATCCAAAACTCACAGAAAGTAGGTGATATGGTTGTCAAGTGTCATAGTTCACATCAGCGCTTGCAGTTCCAATGTGTTCCGGTTGCAGAAAAAAAAAGGTAGAACAGGCTGCATTTTCCTGCACAGAACTGCACTGGAACGTGGTAAAACGCATCAAAAATGCACCGCAATGCACCAAAAACACACTGGAACGCACATGATCCTATTTGAATTGAAGAAAAAGAGACGGGGAAAAAAAATTAACTAAAATACACCGAAAACACATAAAAAACTGACTAGAATGTGCCAAAAATTCACATGCGGAAACGCATCCGGAACACATCCTGGACTGCGTTTCTATGGTGTGAACCAGTTTAAAGCGGTAGTAAACCACATGCAGAAACAAAAATCCCCTTCATCACATACCATAACTTACCTTAAAACAAAGCCTTCCAGCGGCGCACTGTCACTGCTGCAGAGGCTTCCAGCTTCACCCGTCTTCCTTCCAGGTTCGCAAGCTCCGGCCATCTGACTGGCTGAGCCGTGATGACGTCACTCTCATCACAACCTTTAGCCTTTACAACGACTTGAAGTTGTAACTAAACCCCGGACCCTGCATTCACTATATCTGGTCTCCCCGGACCCTGCATTCACTATATATGGTCTCCCCGGACCCTGCATTCACTATATCTGGTCTCCCCGGACCCTGCATTCACTATATCTGGTCTTCCCGGGACCCTGCATTCACTATATCCGATCTCCCCGGACCCTGCATTCACTATATCCGCTCTCCCTGGACCCTGCATTCACTATATCCGATCTCCCTGGACCCTGCATTCACTATATATGGTCTCCCCTGACCCTGCATTCACTATATCCAGTCTCCCGGGACCCTGCATTCACTATATCTGGTCTCCCCTGACCCTGCATTCACTATATCCGATCTCCCCGGACCCTGCATTCACTATATCTGGTCTCCCCGGACCCTGCATTCAGTATATCTGGTCTCCCTGACCCCGCACTCACTATATCTGGTCTCCCCTGACCCTGCATTCACTATATCTGGTCTCCCCGGACCCTGCATTCACTATATCGCTCTCCCCGGACCCTGCATTCACTATATTCGCTCTTCCCCGGACCCTGCATTCACTATATCCGCTCTACCACCCCGGACCCCGCATTCACTATATCCGCTCTCCCCGGACCCTGCATTCACTATATCCGCTCTCCTGGACCCTGCATTCACTATATCTGGTCTCCTGACCCTGCATTCACTATATCTGGTCTCCCGGGACCCTGCATTCACTATATCTGGTCTCCCCTGACCCTGCATTCACTATATCCGCTCTCCCCGGCCCTGCACTCACTATATCTGGTCTCCCCTGACCCTGCATCACTATATCTGGTCTCCCCGGACCCTGCATTCACTATATCCGCTCTACCCGGACCCGCATTCACTATATCCGCTCTCCCGGACCCTGCATTCACTATATCCGCTCTCCTGGACCCTGCATTCACTATATCTGGTCTCCCTGACCCTGCATTCACTATATCTGGGTCTCCCGGACCCCTGCATTCACTATATCTGGTCTCCCCTGACCCTGCATTCACTATATCCGCTCTCCCCGCCCTGCACTCACTATATATCTCCCGCTCACTATATCTGGTCTCCCCGGACCCTGCATTCACTATATTCGCTCTTCCCCGGAGCCCTGCATTCACTATATCCGCTCTCCCGGACCCCGCATTCACTATATCGCTCTACCCCCCCGACCCCCGCATTCACTATATTCGCTCTCCCCGGACCTGCATTCACTATATTCTGCTCTCCCTGACCCTGCATTTCACTTTATCTGGTGCTCCGGACCCTGCAATTCACTATATCTCTCCCCGGACCCTGCATTCACTATATCTGGTCTCCCCGGACCCTGCATTCACTATATTCCGCGCTCTTCCCCCGGACCCTGCATTCACTCCGCTCTACCGCCGGAGACCCCGCATTCACTATATCCGCTCTCCCCGGACCCTGCATTCACTATATCCGCTCTCCTGGACCCTGCATTCACTATATCTGGTCTCCCCTGACCCTGCATTCACTATATCTGGTCTCCCGGACCCTGCATTCACTATATCTGGTCTCCCCTGACCCTGCATTCACTATATCCGCTCTCCCCGGCCCTGCACTCACTATATCTGGTCTCCCTGACCCTGCATTCACTATATCTGGTCTCCCCGGACCCTGCATTCACTATATTCGCTCTTCCCCGGACCCTGCATTCACTATATCCGCTCTACCCCGGACCCCCCGCATTCACTATATCCGCTCTCCCCGGACCCTGCATTCACTATATCTGCTCTCCTGGACCCTGCATTCACTATATCTGGTCTTCCCCGGACCCTGCATTCACTATATCTGCTCTCCTGGACCCTGCATTCACTATATCCGGTCTCCCCGGGACCCTGCATTCCCCGGACCTGCATTCACTATATCTGCTCTCCTGGGACCCTGCATTCACTATATCCGCTCTCCCGGACCCTGCATTCACTATATCTGCTCTCCTGGGACCCTGCATTCACTATATCCGCTCTTCCCCCGGACCCCGCATTCACTATATCCGCTCTCCCCGGACCCTGCATTCACTATATTCTGGTCTCCCCGGACCCTGCATTCACTATATCTGGTCTCCCCGGACCCTGCATTCATATCTGCTCTCCTGGACCCTGCATTCACTATATCCGGTCTCCCCAGACCCTGCATTCACTATATCTGCTCTCCTGGGACCCTGCATTCACTATATCCGCTCTCCCCGGACCCTGCTTATCTGCTCTCCTGGGACCCTGCATTCACTATATCTGGTTCATGCAGAACCTGGAAATGCAATTATTTTAGTAAATATAAACTGCTAAAAACCTTCAGCAGTATAGAGATCAGAAGTCTTGTGACTTCTATCAGTGTCCAGTAGAGCACTAGTTAAAGCTTGTAGGTGGAGTTTTCTTCCTGCTCTAAGAGGATGCAGAACCCCTGACCTCTGTCTGGACAGTGCTGATTGACCCTGTGCTGATCACATGCCCTCTCCCAAAAAAAAAAAACCTCTCTAGCAAGACACACCAAACTAAGCGTGTGCAGCTTGACTCCACAAGATATGTCTTATCAGGAGATAAGAGGGGGATGCTGGAAGAAGGGGAGGATCAGAGAAGATTGGATCAAACAGCCTTATTACACAATGCAGAGGATTAACCCCTTAGGTTCCCCAGTGAGTATAACAAGCATGCGTTACTGCATCTACAGACTGATTGTACTGTTGTGGGTTTAATAACACTTTAAGAAAAGTGAGTGCCTGTGTCTTATTGAAGAGTTATACTGCCTGTGGATGGTGCCAAGTCAGCAGGTGACCCTATTGTCTGGACAGACTGGGTCTCTGGAGGTATGTCAATGCATAAAGCGGCATTTGAAACAGAACAGAGATGAGAGAAGACGAGCAGATAATAGATTAGGGAAAGACAGATTACCTAAAGGACAGATGACAGTTACAATGTATCAGTTTAACTCTAAAACCACTTACCATTTCTTGTCTGTAGTGACTCTATAAGAGAAAAAAAATAAAAAATAGGAAATCAGGGTAACCAATTGAACCCAATATCCGTTTCCTGTAGTATAGAGGAGATCTGTGCACATTTACAAGTCGCAATCTACAACAACAGCATCATTTTTTTTTTTTCATAAAAGCTCCGCCTTTCATTATTAAAAAGCTGTCCTGGAGCTCCAACCAATGACCTTCCCTAGAATGAGTAATTCCATCACTAGACATTCTCCTGCCCCCCCCCCCCCTCCCCAGCAGTGGTGTATTTAGGTTTCATGCTGCCTTAGGCGACACATAAATTGCCCACCCCCCCACCGACCCTGACACTGATCAACACCCCCCTCCCCCACGAAGAGAGCCTGACATTGACCAACACCCCCCTCCCCCACGAAGAGAGCCTGACACTGACCAACACCCCCCTCCCCCACGAAGAGAGCCTGACATTGACCAACACCCCCCTCCCCCACGAAGAGAGCCTGACATTGACCAACCACCCCCCCTCCCCACGAAGAGAGCCTGACACTGACCAACACCCCCCTCCCCCACGAAGAGAGCCTGACATTGACCACCCCCCTCCCCCACGAAGAGAGCCTGACATTGACCAACACCCCCCTCCCCACGAAGAGAGCCTGACATTGACCAACAACGCCCCAGTCCCACCCAAGAGAGCCTTCCACTACCACCGCCCAGGGGTGTATTTACCACAAGGAAAACAAGGCATTTGCCTAGGGCGGCATTTTCTGGGGGGGCAACACTGCCTCTTGGAAGAAGGGATGGAAGAAGGGACACACAAGGCATGGTGACCTGGTGGGTTCCGAGAGATGCTGGGGGTTTCATGACGGTGTATGCACAGCCCGACTCTCGTTCCCGGGGATGTCCGGAGCTGTGAAGGTGAGCGTCTCTCTCTCTCACCATGGGGGATGGTGGCTGGTGCATGGGGGGCAGTGGTAGTGGAGGGTTTGGGTGGAGGGCAGGGGTGCTCTTGGTCAATGTCAGGCTGTTTCTGCGGGGGGGGGGGGGGGGGCACCAATTTGTGTGTTGCCTAGGGCAGCACAAAACCTAAATACACCACTGCCACCGCCCCCCCCCACCCTGGCAAGAGATAAGACACCCACCTTCACAGCTCCGGACATCCCCAGGAACAGGAGTCAGGCTCTCCATACACCATCAAGCAGCCTTCAACTCCCACCTGGTCTCTGTGCCTCATGTGTCCCTTCTTCCATTCCTTCTTTCGGGGGATGGCGCTGCCCCCCTGAAAAATTCTGCTGCCCCCCTGAAAAATGTGGCCCTAGGCAAATGCCTTGTTTGCCTTGTGGTAAATACACCCCTGCCCCCCGAGATCACTCAGTCTGTACATTGTAGGCTGCAGCAGGGGCTGATCTGTGTCAGACGTTTGTGAACACAGCCCAGCAAGTAGATGCAAACCCTGGATGATACCTGAACAAAGATGGCAGCGTCCTTTTGGAGAGAAGAGTTGATGAAGGCATTGTTGGGGGGTGTATTGTGATCTCATAGATAGAAGGGTTACCCTGACACCTTACTGAGCATGCACTGCACATGATCAATGCCAGGTCCGCTATAGGCGATGTGCTGACAATGCTTCTACTCACCTTTCCGGGCTATATGTCTTTTTATAACGAATATCATCATTGCTGCGCCGACCAGGAACAGGGAGGCGACAAACAGGAAGGCATAGGCCCAGGATGACAGCCGAGGGAACAGTTCCTCTGTAAAGGCAAACAGCCGGTCACTGGAACACAGAGACACACAGACCGCATATCCACAAACACAATGGGGGGGGGGATTCACTGAATCTGGGCATGGGAGCCAATCAGATTCTAACTTCAACTTCTTCAATTAAGCTTTGACAAAAAAAGCTGGAAGCTGATTGGTTTCTATGTACCAGATTTTGCACCCTTCAAAAAAACCCAGTGCCCAGTGGGGACAAAACCGAATGTTATCAGGCTGTTTCCTCTCCAGGTCGAATGTGTGGGAAAGAACTAATGATTTACTGTAATTGTCAGCTCCATCTAGTGGCTAAATGCAGTATTTTCCTGGTTCTACCTGGAAAGACAATAGCCCAATGCCATTAGATTTTGCATTCATTCACCCAGAACGAATGAACCCGCGGATTCACAAGGCACATTTGTTTATAATTACACCCACATTAGTAAGTGCAAACCTAGCTTATACCTGATCAGTAATCATTACACCTCATTGCAGAATTGTGTCAGGAGTCTCCAAACTTCTACTAATCTACTGTCCTTCACACTTAGGTCGGATTGTGACCACTGGGAGTAGAAAATGCCCCAACATCAGTGGGCATAAGCAAAGCCCCATCATTGGTTGGAATGAAGAAATAGTGCACCATCAATGGTGTCAGAGGGAGGAATAGTGTCCCATCAATGGTGTCAGTAGGAGGAATAGTGCCCCATCATTGGTGTCAGTGGGAGGAAATAGTGCCCCATCATTGGTGTCAGTGGGAGGAATAGTGCCCCATCATTGGTGTCAGTGGGAGGAATAGGGTCCCATCAATGGTGTCAGTGGGAGGAATAGTGCCCCATCATTGGTGTCAGTGGGAGGAATAGGGTCCCATCAATGGTGTCAGTGGGAGGAATAGTGCCCATCATGGTGTCAGTGGGAGGAATAGTGTGCCCCATCATTGGTATCAGTGGAGGAATAGTGCCTCATCAATGGTGTCAGAGGGAGGAAAAGTGCCCCATCAATGGTGTCAGTGGGAGGAATAGTGTCCCATCATTGGTGTCAGTGGGAGGAATAGTGTCCCATCATTGGTGTCAGTGGGAGGAATAGTGCCCCATCAATGGTGTCAGAGGGAGGAATAGGGTCCCATCGATGGTGTCAGTGGGAGGAATCGGGTGCCCCATCAATGGTGTCAGTGGGAGGAATAGTGCCCCGTCATTGGTATCAGTGGAAGGAATAGTACCTCATCAAATGGTGTCAGTGGGAGGAATAGTGCCCCATCATTGGTGTCAGTGGGAGGAATAGTGTCCCATCATTGGTGTCATTGCCCCGTCATTGTTCAGTGGGAGGAATAGTGCCCCATCATTGGTGTCAGTGGGAGGAATAGTGCCCCGTCATTGGTTACAGTGGGAGGATAGTGTCCCATTATTGGTATCAGTGGGAGGAATAGTGCCCCATCATTGGTGTCAGTGGGAGGAATAGTGCCCCATCATTGGTGTCAGTGGGAGGAATAGTGCCCCATCATTGGTGTCAGTGGGAGGATTTGTTCCCCATCAATGCTGTCAGTGGGAGGAATTATACTATTCAGTGGGAAGAATGGTGCCCCCTTCATCGTGTCAATGTGAGGAATAGTGCTCCATCGATGGTGTCAGTTGGTGGAATAGTGCCCCATTGATGGTGTCAGTGGGAGGATTAGTGCCCCATCGATGGATTCAGTAGGAGGAATAGTCCCCGATCGATGGTGTCAGTAGGAGGAATAGTCCCCCATCGATGGTGTCAGAGGGAACAATAGTGTCCCATCAATGCTGTCAGTGGGAGGAATTATACTATTCAGTGGGAAGAATGGTGCCCCATTCATTGTGTCAATGTGAGGAATAGTGCTCCATCAATGGTGTCAGTGGGATAATTAATGCCTCGTCGATGGTGTCAGTGGGAGGAATGGTGCCCCATTAATGGTGTCAGTGGGAGAAATAGTGCCCCATTGATGGTGTCAGTTGGTGAAATAGTGCTCCAAGAGCCAGAGAAATGCAAGCCAAGAGCCACATCCAACCCTGGGCCGTAGTTTGGTGACCTCTGGCCTATTTTACAGACAGGCAGTATTAGAACTGTCAGCACCATCAGCTCCATCTAGTGGCCATAATGCAGTATTTTCCTAAACTACCTCAATGAGGAAAATACTGCATTATGGCCATTAGATGGCGCTGACATTCAGAGGAAACAAACACATTAGACACATTACAGGGATTATTCACAATTGCTGTATGAGACATTCGACAATTCATTTTTTATGAATAGACAATTTCTGTCTGCTGTTCTGATGTCATGGCAATATTCCCTCCACCAAATCTAAGCTGTAGGCACATTACCAGGGGCGGACTGACGACTCATGGGGCCCCGGGCAATAGGGGATCATGGGGCCCCTGTGTCCTTGCCCAAACTCAAAAAAGCCTATGAAAAAGGTATCAGGGGCATCTCATGGGGCCCCCTATTGACCCCAGGCCCTTGGTCACTGCCCAAGTTTCCAAATGGTCAGTCCACCCCCGCACATTACTAATATAAAAATGCTTCCTTGGCAAATAAAATTTCACGAGAGTTCGATCAGATACCTGAAATAGTCATATAAAGTCCCGTGGATTTCCCAGTCACCGGGTGCCGCGCTGCACCATATAGACGCCGGTGGTCCGGATCCTTCAACAGAACGCTGCTCTCCAGTGTGAAGAGTCCATTGCTTTGGCTGGAGAAGGTCTCTGATGTATCATTGATGAGGGGAACCCTTCCAGCTCCCAATGCATCTCTGGTCTGGGGAACCAATCCGAGGTGAGGAAGGACACCTTGATGACACCATCTTTCAGAGAGACGGACATGATGGGAAGGGAACCAGTTCCTGTCAGGAAGAATGACTCGGTTAGCAAATTTACGGACTGCTCTTTCCGGTTTTAGGGTTCGTAGAAGGAAACCTACCACATGTTCATTGCTTACTTCAGGGTTTCCCAATCTTTTATAACCCAGAGGAACCCTTGAAACACATTCCTGGTCTCGGGGAACCTTGGCAGAAATTGATATCTACAGCTGACAATACATGAGCAAGATCAATTCTATTGCCACATTAATACAAGAATAAAGATGAAAAGTGTACCCACCCACATGGAAGAAAAATATATTTTAAAAATATTCTCCCCAAATATATTGACATGTATTTGAGGTACTACAGTGTTGGAAAGTATTAAATATATCTCAATTAAAATAAATAAATAAATAATAATAATAAAAAAACTAAATAAAAAAAAATAAATAAATAAAAAAAATTAAAAAAAAATAAATAAAAAAAATAATTAAAAAATAAATAAAAAAATATATATATATATATATGTATATATATACCACAGTGAGGAACACAGGTATTTGAACACCCTGAGATTTTGCAAGTTCTCCCACTTAGAAATCATGGAGGGGTCTGAAATTCACATTGTAGGTGCATTCCCACTCTGAGAGACAGAATTTAAAAAACAAATTCATGAAATCACATTGTATGATTTTTAACCACTTGCCGCCCTGCCACTGTAGAAATACGGCGGCAGGGCGGCACGGGCAGGCAAAACCACGTTTTAAAATGTGTGTTTTGTAAACAGATAGGGGGTGCACGTGAGGCGCGCCGCCGCCCTATCTGTCCCGCCGATCACCGCCGCGGATGTCAGTTGCCGGGTCACAGCTGGTCCTTACCGACTGTTTCCCGGCGATCGACGGCAAACAGTGACAGACAGCACAGCTGCAGTAGCTGTGATTTCTGTCACTTCCCTGACAGCTCGAGGATGAGCTGATCGAGAAAGAAGAGTTTCTCTCTCCCGATCAGCAGTGTCCCCTGCAGTACACACCCCCCCCTAGTAAAACACTCCCCCTCACACAGATAACCCTTCCCTGCAAAATAAAGTTAACCCCTTCCTCCCCATTGCCATTAATACAGTGTCAGTGTTTTTTTTTTTTGCACTGATCACTGTATTAGTGTTTTTGGGGATGTCAGTGACCCCAAGTCAGTACCCCCCAATGTCAGAATGTCAGTGCCGCAGTCCCGCCATAAGTCGCTGATCACCGCCATTATTAGTATTAAAAAAAACCCCTAAAAATCCCAGTATCTTTCCCGCCATTTATAAACGCTATAACTTTCACGTAAACCAATTAATTTACACGTATTGTTTTTTTTTTTTCTAGCAAAGACATGTCGCAGAATGTTTTTTGGCAGAAATTTATGACTAAATTTGATTTTTGCATTTTTTTTTTTACTGGACATGTTTTATAGCAAAAAGTCCAAAATATGTTTTTTTTTTCCTCAGCCTTAATTAAAAAAATTGTCAGCCTTTTTTTTACAGCGCAAAAAATAAAAACCGCACAGGCAATCAAATACCACCAAAAGAAAGCTCGATTTGTGGGGAAAAAAAGGATGTAAATTTCATTTATGTACCGTATTGCATGACCGCGCAATTGTCCGTTAAACTAGCGCAGCGCTGTATAGCAAAAAAATGGCGTAGATTGCAGTATCTATACCATAGTTTGTAGACGCTATAACTGTCACACAAAGCAATCAATATACACTCATTGGGATTTTTTTTTACCAAAAACATGGAGCAGAATACATTTTGGCCTAAATTTATAACCAACTTTGAGTTTACTATATATTTTTTTATAGCTGAAAGTAAAAAATATATTGTTTTTCTTCAAAATTTTTGGCCTTTTTTTGTTTATAGCGTGAAAAATAAAAAGCGCACAGGTGATCAAATACCACTGAAAGAAAGCTCTATTTGTGTGAAAAAAGGACGTAAATTTTGTTTGGGTGCAGCATTGCATGACCGCGCAATTATCAGTTGAATTAGTGCAGCGCCGAGTAGCAAAAAGAGGCCTGGTCATTAAGGGGGGTAAATCCTCTGGAGGGCAAGTGGTTAAAGAATGTATTTGTCTTGCACGGCTGAACAGAAGTATTTGAACACCTGAGAAAATCAGTGTTAATATTTGGTACAGAAGCCTTTGTTTGCAATTACAGAGGTCAGACGTTTTCCTGTAGTTCCTGACCAGATTTGCACTGCAACAGGGATTTTGGCCCCCTCCTCCACACAGATCTCCTCTAGATCTGTCAGGTTTCGGGGCTGTCGCTGAGCAACACGAAGTTTCAGCTCCCTCCAAAGATGTTCTATTGGATTTAGGTCTGGAGACTGGCTAGGCCACTCCAGAACCTTGATATGCTTCTTACGGAGCCACTCCTTGGTTATCCTGGCTGTGTGCTTCGGGTCGTTGTCATGTTGGAAGACCCAGCCACGACCCATCTCCAATGCTCTGACTGAGGGAAGGAGGTTGTTGCTCAAAATCTCACAATAAATGGCCCCATTCATCCTCTCCTTAATACAGTGCAGTCGTCCTGTCCCCTTCACAGAAAGGCACCCCCAAAGCATGATGTTACCACCCCCATGCTTCACAGTAGGGATGGTGTTCTTGGGACCTTTGAAACTGTGGTCCCAGCTCTCTTCATGTCATTGACCAGCTCCTCCCTTGTAGTTCTGGGCTGATTCCTCACCTTTCTTATCATCAGTGATACCCCACGAGGTGAGATCTTGCATGGAGCCCCAGTCCGAGGGAGACTGACAGTCTTCTTTAGCCTTTTCCAATTTCTAACAATTGCTCCAACAGTTGATCTATTTTCACCAAGCTACTTGGCAATTGCCCCGTAGCCCTTTCCAGCCTTGTGGAGGTCCACAATTTTGTCTCTGGTGTCTTTTTACAGCTCTTTGATCTTGCCCATGGTAGTAATTGGCGTCTGACTGACTGTGGGGTGGACAGGTGTCTTTTAAGAGCTCAGAAAGGTGCTACTAAGTTAGATTAATGAGTGGAGTAGAGGTGGACTTTTTAAAGGCACAGTAACAGGTCTTTGAGAGCCAGAATTCTTGCTGTTTCTTAGGTGTTCAAATACTTATGTTCAGCAGTGCAAAACAAATAAATTCTTTACAAATCATACAATGTGATTTCCTGAAATAGTTTTTTAAATTCTGTCTCTCAGAGTGGGAATGCACCTACAATGTGAATTTCAGACCCCTCCATGATTTCAGACCCCTCCATGAAGTGGGAGAACTTGCAAAATCTCAGGGTGTTCAAATACTTCTGTTCCTCACTGTATATATATATATATTACACTGTATGTTGAAGTGCATTTTTATTACAAAATATATGAAACATATGATCAGTTGTAGAACAGAACCCTTACATTGATGGTCAGAGGGAAGAATTCTCCTCACATTGGTTGTTAATGCCCCTCTTTCATTGGTGGCCACATTGGTGGTCCATGTCATTGACCAAATATGGCCATGTGGTGATATTAGGTCAATAAAGTCACAATCATCTCTGCCCTTTTGTTATATGAAGCTGCAATTGGGCAGGTGGCCTGCCATCATGTGATCCTTTAGGTTGTTCTAATCCAGTGGTTCTTAACCTGGGTTCGATCGAACCCCAGGGGTTCGGTGAGTCAGTCTCGGGGGTTCGGCGGAGGTGACCCACACCCGACTCATATGATTTGTGATGACATGCCCCGCTTGTCCATCATTGGCTGCAGGTGGTCACGCAACATCGCTTAGCCCAGTGGTCGGCAAGCCGCGGCTCTTGTGTGCCGGGCGCCCGCTCCCCTCCCTCCTCTCGGGCGGCAGGGACTCAAATGCAATGATTGGCCAGTCTCGCTGCCACTCACATCCTGATAGCCAGTGATTGGCTGTCAGGATGTGTGTAGGCGGGGCAGCGTGACGAACGTGAGAGGAGCTAGGCTCCTCTCACAGTCCGCCCTGAAGACCGGAACGGCGCGGGAATACAGTGAGAGGAACGCGCGGAGCAAAGGTAAGTGAATTGACACAGGGGGGACTTGGGGACTTAATATGGGGGATGAATTAATATGGGGAATGAATTACTATAGGGGGGATGAATTACTATATGGGGGATGTATTACTATGGGGGATGAATTACTATATGGGGGATGAATTACTATATGGGGGATGAATTACTATGGGGGATGAATTACTATATGGGGAAGGAATTACTATAGGGGGGATGAATTACTATATGGGGGATGAATTACTATATGGGGGGATGAATTACTATGAGGGATGAATTACTATGGGGGATGAATTACTATATGGGGGATGAATTACTATATGGGGGATGAATTACTATGGGGGATGAATTACTATATGGGGGGATGAATTACTATGGGGGATGAATTACTATATGGGGGATGAATTACTATGGGGGATGAATTACTATGGGGGATGAATTACTATATGGGGGATGAATTACTATATGGGGGATGAATTACTATGGGGGATGAATTTTCATACCGTTTGTTACAACATATCTTTGCGAGCAATCCTTTTCGAGGATGCTGGACATAAAGACGAAGAAAAGGAACAGACTTTGTTGTGAAAATGACATGAGAGTGGCACTTGCCAAGGTAATGCCGCGAATTTCTGAACTGGCCTCTGAAAGACAACAGCAGAAGTCACACTGATTTGCGGTAAATATTCATTATTTTGTTTTTGTGTGAAAATCATGTTTTAATGGTTTTGTTCTTTGTTCTTAATGGTTTTGTTCATTTTGTGCACCTATGTATAAATATATACCTATGTTTTTCA